CTGTCATTTTTGTGCCTGTGAAATGTCTCCAGGATGGGGGCATTTGATCACCTGAATGGACCCTAGTGTGGGGCATTTGAACGGCATTTTGGGCCCGGGTAGGGGGGAATTTGAACAATAATTTTCAAAAAAGTCAAATGCCCGGGGGGGGGGGGGCATGTTGAAGCTTCGATTTGACCGATACATTATCCAGAAGTTTTAGAGTAGCCAGCTCCCAAAGCAAAGAAACTGGTGCCTGACACCAAGCACTGATAAAGCGAGAGTACTGTATCTAAGGGAGGGGTTTGGGGGCATTAAGCCCAGAGATCTGAGAAGTTTTGCTCGTTATTTACAAGCTTTTCCAGAGTTCTCCCAAGAACCAAGTGAGTTATCATGCTGGTAAATCCATAGAAAATGTGGTCTTTTACTTTTATAAAATAACTTTAAAGCATGTTTCAGTTTACTATGAGATTACCAGCACAATAAACTATTGGTTTTTAACCAATCAGAATGCATGTACTATCTTAGTTATTTTATAATTAAAAAATATTACCACATTATATTATTACATGTCTATCAGAACTGTCAACGCATGAACCGACTCTCCTGGACTGGATGAATGAAAAATCAAAACATTATAAAGATGAACACTTTTAAAAACTCATCGAGATTCTAGGATTTTACACAGCGGGACAGCTAAAAAAACCTGGCAGATAATGTGAAGAAAAATAATTCTTAACAGCCATCAAAATTACTGTGAATTTGGACTTTTAGAGCAGTTACAAAAGTAAGAACAACGGAGAAAAACTATTACCTTGGTCGCTTGTTATGACGTTGTTTGAAGCCACAAGCTGGTTTTGCTGAACAAGAAAAGAAGCTTTACTGACGCCTCGATTGCTGTAGTGAATGGCTGCATAGCGTGTATTCTAGTTGCTTGTGATTTATATTCTTCATGTCAGATAAACAAGCCGCAGCTATCTATCGGCAAGGGCCTCAGCGAGTGGCTTCGCAACCATGAATAAACAAAACCTGTCTTCTTTTGTAGCGGTTCAAGGCACTTTAGTTCCATGTATTTTCATGTGTTTTTCGATAAACTTTCCAACAAGCTCTCGTGGTTTTTTTGTTTGTTTGTTATTTTCCCGATGAAATTGCATGTTCTAGTATTCTAAGAAATGAATTAACACGATTTCCTTTGGGTGCCGTTTTATCCTTCGCGGAAAAAAATGGAACTTACGAAAAATTGAAGATAAAAGTTACAGACAGTTTTTTTTTATGTTTTGACTCATAAGAGTAGCTGGCACTTTGGAAAAGAGTTCCCAGTGAAACTGCCAGTTGCCCGCGCTTCTGGAGAACACTGATTGTTTATTAGCCAATCACAGGTTTTCATTCTCTGAGAAATTCGCACTTTATTTCCTTATTTTTGCATTATGTTTCCTTGTTTTTGTACTGTGTTTACTAAAAACTGCACTGCTCTAAGCCAATCTGATTCAAGAAATTTTTCCACGTATATTAGTAAGTTTTATAGGAAAATTCATTACCTGACGAGGGAATTCCACGTTAAATTGCACACGAAAACCGATATCGGTTTTCAAGTGCAATTTAACGTGGAATTCACGAGTCAGGTAATGGATTTTCCTTGAATCGCATAATCAAATAAAAATCAGAAAAAAAAAGAAAACACCAGTAATATTGTTTGTTTTTATCCTGAGCACGCGCCCCAGAAAGCCATTTCAAAGTCAAATGTCAAACCTATCATTGCATTAGCGAATAGGAAGCAAGGTCAGTCATACACGTTTGAACCTTTGACAACTTTTTTTGTACCTTGTGCTTGTTTTTACATTTGTTTTCAAACTTTTTTACACATGAACAAGCTTCACACTAATTGTAAGGATAAATAGAGGTATTTCACTGAATTTACAAGCCGGTTATCTATAATCCTTTTTCAAATTGGTCATTGGTCATTTGCTCGCGAAGGAAAATAATTTACACCTTTTACCTCTTCGGTAGCAAAACTGAAAGAAATGAAGTGTCCAAGGCAAAGCACTGAAAGTTTAACGTTGCGATTGATATAAGGTAAGTAAGGTGTGTTCACATCAGTGCCCAGCGAGTACCGTACTCGGGCAACGTGCCCAGGCATCAAGTGTGAACTCTATCGTAGACTAGACTACCTTAAAACGCCCCACAAGTGTGTGCTACTGTTTGGGGTTCCATTTTTTATCTTCCAGGTCTGTGATGGGCTTCCAATTTTGGTCTTTTCAGTCTTAGATGAGGTTATCTGTACCCACCAGGTGCATGCTTTATATCTTTCTAGCTACACCAAAACTAGTTAGTTTTTGTTTATGCGACGACGTAACAGTTGTTATAATAACATGAGTACTGAAATAAGACACATCTTTTTTCACTTCCTGTCTGTCTGAGTTCTTTGGTCTGAGACGGGATAGGGTCTTCAAGGCCCTAGCGCACGGCCCCCAACTAAGTTTTCCCTCGTGCTCCCGAGTAGAGTCAAAGCTTATAAATACTGACACCCAAGTGAAGTTTCCTTATTGCACATGGGTCCGTTTAGTGGGGGGTAGGGAGGGGGTAGGGAGTGTCCGTATGGTAATGGGGAGTGTCCCCCTGATGGACTCGGGCGTAACGGTCACACAGAGTTTAATCAATACTATGTACAATTCCAGGAGACTATTAAAATATATGCAGACTATATACAACACGTGCATGCCCTGGGGGCACTCGACAAAATAATAGTAAAGATACATAACATCACCGAAAACTAAAGAATGGTAGGTTTTGGTGCGATACATGTTCAGAGTATAACTTCAGGGCTGCTACGGTGAGGAGAAGCCAACAGTTTTTCAAAATAAGGAAAAAGTGGGGAAAATTCTCAGTTCTTGGGTCAGTCATGCGCAGGCGAATTTAGATTTTGGCTACCACACGTTTTAGGCATGTCATAGGAATAATAGGTCTTCTGTATATAGTACTATATACTTGACTTTTATACTGTGATCCCTTATGTTCTTTAATACCGTAGTCTTAAGAGGTCAATATGGCGTGTATAAAATGCAAGACGCAAAGCCTGAAAACCTGAACAAGAAAAAGTTGAGATTTTTTCAGTATAAATTAGCACCTGAATTAAGTTGCAACCCTATGGTAACTTCTCGAGAAAAGTATATTTAAAATAGCGCACTCTGGTCCTAAATTTCAGGGACTATTATTCATTTATTTACTATTAATTCTACTGCTTATTTTCCTGCCTAATAGTTTGTTTTTCATCCTTCGGTACTTGCCTGTGTTCCTATGGTATTAATACTGCCTTCCATTTCCGCAACGTTATTGAGACGTAATTTCCTCGTGCGTACGCGTGTGAATGAAAACGTATAAAAGGCCGCACGTAAACGTAAAAGTTGAGTGAGCGAGGTTTAACTTTCACGTTCGTCTAGTTTACTTACGCATGTAAAGTAAGTGAAAACTAGGCGATAGTAGAAATGCACCCTAATGCCTAGGGGCCAAACAGTATGATTTCAACCTGACTAGTCCACATTCAAGGGCTGAGAAGCTCCCGGCCTATTAAACAAGATCAATTGGATTCATATGTAGAAAATAGGTGTTTATGAGCGTTTACAAGTATACAAGTATAGGATCAAAAGAAACCGTAATTGAACTGTTTCCAGCTGCTACTGTAAAAATTTTGCAAAACTAGTAATACCTTCATGATCGAATCCTTTGGCAAGAATTGAATCGTTAGTCAGTAAGGTATTAAGTTTTTGCGAGATTCTATCGAAACAGATTCTACTTTTAAGTTAGTGAAGTGAGTGAAATCCGCTTGAAACTGGTTCAACTTGGAACAAAGAAACCAAAAGGTGCCAAGGCGTGTGGCCCAACCTAAGTTTTAATGAGTTGGAGAAAGCTGATTATTATTCGAGTTTTAGGCGTACAAGTGCGAAAAGCTATCGGCCTTGAACAAACGAGATTTGTTGGAAAAGTTGATTCATAATCCCTTCCACAGCTGAAAACACCTATTACGGAAAGAAATTTTCCTTCGTAATAATAAAGTAGATTTCGGTACAAGAACCGATCCCACCTTGGTGTTATTCTAGGTAACTGCAAAGCTTAATAGTACATAGTGGAAAAAACTAGCTTTCAAAGTTCCAAGAATAAACCGTGTATTCAACTATTTTGTATTTTTTTTTACCCCAACATAGACAAGATGGCCATTTCCAAAACCCTTCATCCGGAAAGGATCCTAGAATCGAGAGTTCGGTATCAGGATCATAAACCAGGTGTGACCAGCTGCCTTGTCCCCAATTTAGTGCGTGGTTTCCAAGCGATAATTGTTCTAATTCATCTTCCTAAAAACAGCTTTGGAAATGGCCTAGAAGAACATATATGTAATATTACGCGAGATATTTCCCATTACCTAGGTTAAATATTTCGTTTAAATGAGGTACCGAGTCGAGAACCGAAAAGAGGCAGCTTCGTTAAATCAAACAACTAAATTGTGTGAATTACTGTCCAAACGCTTGCAATAAACCAAACTAAATATTGGAAACTGGGAGTTTAAACCTTGATAATGGCTCTCTTGTCAGTCCTTCCCTCGGTAGTATTAATACCAATGTTCGGTTGATACAGTAAGCGATTATACTTAAGCAGGCAAGCAGAAATGAATAAATAACGTAAAGGGATTGATTCACACACGTGGCGGCGGCCACAGAAAAGGGATTTATCTAATGCTATTTTGGCGTTATCCACCTTCTGAACAACTGGGTTAGGTTCCAGGTCTATATTTATTTACAAAGTTACCATCACGGTCCATTTTCAATGATTCTTTGATGTTGATCGGAATGAAATCCACGTTCTCCGCACACCAGAAGCACTCTTATAGAAAGGCATTGACAGTAACTACTGACAGAAGTGGGAAAGTGGTAAGTTAAACGCTGATAATTGCAAATAAAACTCCGACGTTTAGGCAATGGTGCCTTCATCAGGGAAAATATTTTCCCAGATGAAGGCAGCATTGCCGAAATGTCGGAGTTCTATTTGCAGTCAGGTTATCAGCGTTTAACTTACCACCTTCCCACTTTTAACAGTCACACACAAACGCTACGCGGGAACCCCCTTCATTAGTAACTACTGGCAACCGATGTTCTGTACATGCACCAAAGTTTTCAGTGCGTGTTCTAATATGAAAAAAAACTGTTATAATTTGTTTTTAGATATTTTAAAGTGCCACACACCCCAAAACTTTCAAAGTACTGGCTAGCTACGGAAGACCATTAAGAAATGAAATGACCTCGTTTGAATTGCTTTCAAAGCAAATTTTTAAATTTCTTGAGAAAGGCTACTTTTCATTCCATCATCATCATCATCATGTTTTCCTCTCCTGATATCGATCCTCGAGGCGCTTACACACTTCTTCCAGTTCTTTCTTGGTACTGTAAAAAAGAAAACTTTACTGTAAAAGGCAATCACAAAGAAAACGGCAAAAATTTTAAGGTATCATTCATGACACAGCTAAGAAAAAAGGGGCAATAGCAGCGGGTTGTCTAATACATCCCCATCAATAGCACGAGAATTATAATTGTAAAATTAAGAAGCGCCATTTCAGTCTCTTAGCCGAAAGGCCCCTATAGCACACGGGGAAAGAGAAAACGATTAAAATTTTTGGCAAAGTTTTGAACCATTTACAGAGCTACTTGAAATGCTCGCCCAGTTTTTTCAAGTTGTCATCTGTGACTTATCACAACCTCAAATACCTCGTTTCGTTGCATTTAAGGCACTACTCAACATGGCTAGACCACTTTTGTTCGTTTTTATTGTTGCATCCACTTCCCCCCAGACATCTCTAAAACGTACATGAAAGGGGCTCTTCTGAGTTCTTTTCCGCTAACACTCTTGTTTTATGTTTTATTGCCTCCGCCATTTTGATTTGTTCTCAGGGGCGGTGGCGCGGAAGAATTCTACCTAACTTTTTTCTGGAAGAAACGCTCGAGGCTTTGTGAAGTTTCCTGTTTTGGGTCTTTCTTTTCCTTATTTTGTGGCTTCACGGAGTACAGTTTCCAATGTTACAGGTTTCCAGTTCGGCCTTGATTTGCAACTTTTGCCGGACTTGCCGTAAGAAAATTTTAATTGATGAAAAATTTGGTGACCCATCTATACCAGCCACGTTCCCTTCAATAATCCTGGATCCAGCCATGAAGGTTCTGCTTACTGATAAAATTCATTTGTACCTACGTAAAGTGTTGTTTGACTGGAAATAGACTCAAAAGCGAGGTCCATTTTCATAGTTGCATATAAGCCAGGAAACACTTGCAGAAACAAATGACTTCAATAAGCTTATTTTCACACAGGTTACTACTTAACACAGTGAAGGGAATGGTTAGAAAAACGTTACATAGTCCCTTTTTTACGTCGGTACCTCGAAATAGTGATCTGACTAACAAACCTGAGGTTGACGATACGTTCATTTTACCTGAAGATATGGCACCTGCACCCAAGAGAAAGATCCCCGCTGGCAAGTTCGACTAGTGTTGGGGGAAGTGTATCAATTCCTCCCACCCAACCCTGCTTGTGCTCGCATTGTAGAGTCAATTACACTCACTCCTGCTTACCTTTCAAGATCCTTGTGTTTCTCATCCAGCACCTTCTTCTGCATGGCTAAACACTGCTCAAGGTTAGTTTTCGCTGCTTGTAACTCGTTCGTTTCCTTAAGAACCATTGCAACCTCAAATAGAGATAAAGCTGTTTCCGTGTGCTCCTGAAGGAATACCCGCCGAATTTTCAGCGCTTCCTCTGAACACTTTTTAGCGTGTTCGAACTCTTCCAGAGCACGGTAGTTTTTGGACAGGTTGTTTAGGATGGTAGCTGTAAAAGGATGATCGCCCAGCTTTTCTCTGTATATTGGAAGCGTTTCACGTGTTCTGAATTTTACGGCTTCTCGGAAAAGTACATTGGCTCGTTCTCGTTCTCGTTCTCGTTCTTGTTGATGTTGTTTTTGATGATGTGCCGCTTCCAGGGAGAGGACAACTAGAACACAGGAGAAATTCACAGTTTTCGTAACGTAGCACATTACCATGGCATTATGAACTTGAAAATCATGAAAATATGTAACGAGTTTGTATAGGAGCCTTTGGCATAACCTGGAGCGAGCAAAGCCTTTAGCTACACCTATGCCTGTAAATTCGCACCAAAATCGTTCAAAAAATAAATTGGTCCGTGCCGAAACGACGTGACACGAGTACATATGGAAGTTGCTCACTCCGGGTCATGGGCTCGTGGTTTGTATCTTTAGAAGGTTAAAATAAAATTTAGGCTAAAATGGTTTCAAGCTAGGAGACATAGGAAATCGAGAACCACACTGAGTTGAAACTTTATGTCAAAGTTTAGTATATTCATAACTGTTTCTCTTTGGACAAAGCCCGCACGGTAAGATAGCCAGCTGCTGGGATCAACCATCCCTAGGGACGGATCTAGGAAAGAACTTAACGCCTTGTGCCTCAGGCTTTTAACTTTTCTTTAGCCTGTGAACAGGCTCTCTGTTCGGGCAAAGTGTTTGTCTGCAGGCTCTCACGCTTTCCCTTCCCTCTCCTCGCGACTTTTTCACCCTTTTCCCAAACAGAAAGCTTGTTCATAGGCTAACTTTCCTTCGGTGTTCTGGATCCCCTCCTTATCTAAGATACAACTTCTTCACCCCTCTTTCTCGAGGGCGTAAGGGAGAGGACCCTGGGTACGATGTCGAGGACTCCCTGTGTGCAGGAAGAACTTAGGCTCACCTGCTAAGTCGTTGTATGTTGCACCTAACATGACGCTATCCTCTTCGCCATGGCCCTTACGAATATCGATTGCTTTATTAATCATCTCCTTTCCTTTGCCAAATTCGCCATCTATAGAGACACAACGGCCATGTTTGGCAAGGCACTGGGCTCTGCTATTACCGGTATTAATTGCAAGGTCGCTCTGGATTATATCGGCTTTAATAAAGTAATCTTTAGCTCTCTCCAGCTTCACGGGACAGATGAAGGAAAAGAAACAACTGAATGCCTCTTTTATCCCTAGTGAAGTAAGACAGTCACTTAACCTTTTTTCATCTTGCAACAGTAGGCACTTGTCTTTCAGCATATTAAAAACCGCATTAAATCGCTTGTCCCCCATCATCTTTGCAAGTAGCTCGGCTGCTTTGTTGAACACATCAATACACCTTAGTCTTTGTTCGTCGTCCAAGACGTCACTCTTGAACCAGTCGAGAAGTTGCATGATGTTTTCCACTTCCTGACGAAACATATCGCAAGATTCAAAAGCGCTTTTGCTCAGGAACTTCTTGAAAACCTCTTCAAGAAGAGAGAGATAGTGGTCGATAAAACGCTTTCGGCCGTTCTCGTATTCTTGTTTTGCACCGTCTTCTTGGGCCTTGTTTTGGCAGTAGAGTTTTTGGACTCCAAGAAGACTGTACCAGCACGGAGCTTTAGGGCATGTGCTCCTTTCTAAGAAAGATCGACCAGCCAATTCCAAAATGCGGCCTTCTAACCCCTCTGAACAGAAGACTTCTTTAGCTGTTGACATGGTAAAATGTCCTTTAAACAGCGAAAGACAAATAAGAGTGTGTCGTAGATCCTGGTCAAGTCTGTAAAAGCAAGCGTCAAGGCACACGTCTATTTTCTTACTTGCATCAGTTTCAGGAATTGATATAAATTTCTTGAATTGGTCCTTTGGGTTGGCGTTGGTCATCATTTGCACAAGATCGGGTGGATGGTCTTGCCAAGAAGCCAATGAAATAAGGGCGAGCGGAATACCATCACAAATATCGGCTATTTTGTAAGCAATTTCTTCGTCCAGCTGACGGTCAGTACAATAGGTGTTCTTCAGAAGCTCAAATGATGCCCTCCTCTCTAACGGATCCAGCCTTACTGTCTGTTGACATGTTTCTGGAAAACACGCCCACACTGATGAGGTAACGAGCAGCTTGACGTTAGTTGAGGCTGTGATGATTTCTGTGATGAACTTTTTAACTTTAAACCCTTCTGTTTGGTCAATCCTTGTTATCTCCGGATTCATGTTGGCTTCCTCATTGCGATCCAGGGGCTCTAAGTATTGAAAATTGTCCAGCAGCAATATGACGAGGAGATCTTTCTCACTTATTAGCCTCCTTTTAACTTCTGCAGTGGACTCATTCAAAGGGAAATGATAGATTTGATGGGAAATCTTCGCCGCAAGATCATCACATAAATTGACAACACAGCAGTTGATGTAGACGACAGCAGTGTTATCGTCATTATCTAGAATCTCGTTTGCCGCTTTAACAGCAGTGGCTGTTTTTCCCATCCCAACAGCACCGTGTACTAAGACACAACTGCAGTCGTTTTCTGGGTGTAGGAGAAGATGTTTCTTAATGTCTTCAATTTCTTGCTTGCGATTAACAAACTTTCGTGTAGGACGCGGAAGATGTGACAAATATCTACAAGCGCCTGTAAAACAAATTACGTATTGTTGCTGTATAGTCTGACACAATTTATCAAGATTTACTTTACATGCAAATAACTAAACGGTAAATTAACGAAAAACGATACTGGTAGAGCTCTTAAGTGACTATAAATAGATCATGTATTAGACAGTAATTTTTAGAGAGTTATTATAACTCCTAAAATGGAGTAAAAATTTTAGGTACAGGATAACCCCTTTTATGGGGTTACTTTAACTCCTAATTTAACTCCAACTTTAGGGTCATTTTTACTCCTGAAGAAAAGTTCTTTTGACTCCCAGTCTGGAGATAAAATAACTCCGAAAATGGGGTTATTTTTGCTCCTTACATTGGTTGTTTTTACTCTTTTTGGAGTTACAGTGAAACCTGTATTAAGCAGACACCGTATTAAGCGGACACCCTCTATTAAGCGGACAGTAGCCGAAGTCCCCAAATGTATTTCCCTTATTTACTTTAAATGAAACCTTTATTAAGCGGACACCTCTATTAAGCGGACGCGGACACCTAAAAAGTACCTGAAATGGTCATTTCTATTGTTTCCAACCTGTAGTAAACGGACACTAAATTAAATTCCACCCCCCAACATGCCAGACACCGGAAATGCGAAAGATTGCCATCCACAAATTTTTCAATTTTTACATTAAAAAAGGTGACTTATTTGATTAGTTTCACAGTACAGTATTGTTTTCTATTTCCTTTTGTTTGTATAGGGCTTGTTTCACTCATCCTTCTTCAAATTTGAGTTGCAATCTATCTTTATGGTACTTTGATCAACTGGTCCACTTAAATAAAGAAATTAATGCAAATGTATATCGTCATAGTCTCTGGGAGTACAGCTAAACGTTTCCACTGTTCATTTGAGTGGCATTTGACACCTCAAATGACGTTATCTATCGAAACCTGTATTAGGCGGACACCCTGCATTAAGCGGACACTACAGCATTCCCCGAGGGTGTCCGCTTAATACAGGTTTCACTGTACTTTAACTCTGAAAGTAGAGTAAAAATTTTAGGTACAGGATAACTCCCTTTGGAGGGGGTTATTTTAACTCAATATCTGAGGTGATTTTTACTCCTGAAAAAGAGTTCCTGTTTGGAGTTAATTATCGGATCGAAGTAAAAATTACATTTATGTTAATAGCTTACCTAGAGCTACTTTGTGAATTTTTTTGAGAATTTTCGATTTTTCGCTTTTGTAGACCTCTGGTCGATATTTACTGATCCGCTTGTCATCAGTTGTCCGAATATCTATCAAATGATTGGTTACTATTAGAATTTTCACATCAATAATTTCAACAGTGGTCTTGTTAAATATGAAGATCATCGCAGTAAGACGCACCTTTAGTAGCTGCGAAACGAATCGCTGTTAAAAGATGAAAACTTTAAACTTAAAATGGGCAGAATAAGAAAGGGATAATCAATACGAATGGGAATATGAGACTTTGATCATTTAATTGCTTATGGTCTGTTACTTTTTGATCCACGACTAGTAAAATCTAGTCGCTGAAAAACGGATTTACCGTTATAGAATACGAAAGGTATTTCATCCTCTACATCCTCACGCATTGTCTGCGTATCCTCTCCTTCCGAAGAAACCGTTGAAGAAGCGACGGCCTCTTTTTTCGAATCTCAAAAATGTCAAAAGAAAAAAAGATAACCAGTCAGCCCAAGAGAGGATACTCTTGGTTAGCCATAATTCACTGTCCCATTTTCACAGAAACGCCCTCCAACAAAGAAAACAGTCAGAGACAGTCAACGAAAGGGAGATCAAGCCAATTTGTTCAGGAAACTGCCTGAATGATAAAGAGGCAGTAAAAAGTGCAGCAAACAATTTGACAGACTGGGCATAGGTAACTCTGCTAAAATGTGTACAGATTGTTTACTAAAACGTTATTAATGCTGGGAAGCACCAATGATTCATCCCCCAGCCCTTCCATGCCGCTGAAAGGTTACCCCAGAGTTTTTTAGAAAAACCGAGGTTAATTCTATTAATGAAAAATAAAGCTAACAGGGCTACTTCAAGTGAAAGTCACAAGCACATTAACGCAGTCACCGAGGGTGTTTGTGTAGGGAAAAATAACTTAATGAAGTAAAAAGGTGGGGAAGAGGTTATGGAGATGACATTTTAATGTTACCAATGTCAACAGTGATCTTGTTAAACGATGACAACTCCAAAATTAGAATGCACAAAATAACAGATGCATTCTCAAAGAGGGTAATATGAGTTACTTTTGACCATTCAACTGTTTATGGTTTGCTCTTGTTTGGCACATGACTGGCAAATTCTTGGGAACGAGTTGTTATGGGTATGACGACGATAAATCAATTGTTAGTTTTTGTTACACACTCACCATCTGTTACCGCAGGAAGTTCACCCTCCCTCTTGCTCATGGCCATCTGTGCTCTTAAAAGACAAAAATTAATACCACACTGTGAGGGTATTATCTGACACAAAGAAAAGCCAGATCCAATTACAACTTTTCCGCCCAATGAGAATTCCGAGTCTGTTACTCTTACTGTAATCCTAGAATCCTACATAGATACGTCTTACAATAAATCAAGTTCGAGGCCCAAACTGTAAGTTGCGGACCGAGTTTTTTACTTCGGCGGAGCGCGAAGTAAAGGTTTCGCGACGCTCAGGAATGTATCAAAGTTACAATTTTTTGACAAGATTGGGCAAGCAAAGTCTGTAGGTTTTCGGTTCTATTCGGCTATTTGACGAAGTGAGAGCCGAATTAGTTCGAGATATCTCGAGATCACTTCGATTTCTTTGATTTATTCTTTAAACTTTTTCGAGGAAGAAAGAGTTATTACTTTGGCTTTCCCGGGGTTTGAACCGACTCACCTGTGTGACCTGTCAGATCAGAGGAGACTCTAAGTTGAGGGATTAGCCGATTGCGCTACTGCGACCCAAGGTAGTTTGGCATATGAAAAATAGTTATGAAATGATGCACTAGTTTCGGGACAAGATTGGGAGTGCAAGTTCGCGACTTTTCGGCTTGTTTCAACTATTTCCCGAAATGAGACCGGACTACTTCGTGATATCTCGAGATCACTTCGAGTTAAGTCTTTAATTACTCGAGGAATAACTAGAGGATATTTTGTGGCCGTGCAGAGACACGAAATTTCTCTTCGAGTGTTGAAAAACATTTCACGAGTGAGCCCTCCTTTCGAACTGTTTTATGATGAATTTAAAGTTACAAAATGCTGCACAAAGACATAATTGCTTTCATGCGTTGCGTGACTTTCTCGAACGTTCTCTACGTTTTTGGATTATTCATGAATTATTAATTAGGGCATGTTTTACATTTCAGCATGACTCAGCAGATTTGCATCAGTTACTGAAATCATAAAATATGTCGAAAAGCTACTACTATTCGCCTGTTTGGTATTTTCTAGAACCTTATGTCAAACGGTATACAAGTTCCAAGCGAGTTCTTTCGACGAACTAAGTTTTTTCCCACGAGCTGGATTGCTGTGTTTAGTCAAGTGTGACGAAGGTCGATTTTCAGGTTCTATGTTTACAAGTTCGTGGAAGCCGCAAGATATCTGAAGTTCAAGTGAGAGTTTGTTATTATTGGTAGAGGCTGTTTAGTTTTACTCAAAGTTCAAGTCAAGTTTATGTTGGCGGATGCTGTGTTTTAAAGCTCTGTAAAGGCTATGTTCCTTTGGTGTTAAACTTCCTTGTGTTAATCCGACATCCCTGCGTGCTGATAGTCAATGAATAATTATCCTCAAAACATTCGAACTCGTGACTTTGGTTTTTAGTTAATTCCATGCTCAACGTAATTGACTCCTTACCCATGCCTTACATATCTTTATTCAGTAAAGGAGACTGCTATGCTGTTTTTGAAGCCTGATGTGACTAAGAAAAATAGAGAATTGTTTTTTTAGAAGGATTTGTATGGAGTCATCAGAGCATAACTGGGCTAACATCTCGGAGACAATTTGTCCCGAAATGCTAGTTTTTGGCAAGTAGGCCTCTTGGATGTTGCTCTTTTCAGAATATCCTAACAAATCCCATAATTTCACAAATTAACACCTTACTCTTACCATATTTCATTTCTTACTACTCCTCCGCATTTACAATTAATCAGTTCCACAACCACGACGCCGAAGTGTACGCTCCGTAGCGTCTTGTTCCCGTTGATTTATCGCCAAACGTGAAGCCCCGGGCGATAAATCAATAGAAAAAACGAGGAACCCAACTTTAACTGACCGAGAAAACGAGGTTAGTAAGAGATTAAACGTTATTTTTCTAATGTTAATTAACTTTTAAATTTAGCAGGATGTGCAATAGAATTTATACAATGTAGTGAATGGTAGGCGCACCGTGATTAGTCGTTGCCTCCAGATACACGAATGACGTCATAGAAAGATTGTTTTTTGTTGTCGTCATTGTTTGTTTTGTCCACAAAAAGGCTCGGTTTTTAAAATATTTGCGTCAACATTTCAGGTTGAGCAAGTGTACAAAAGTTTGGCAGGGGCTGTCAACAGACTGATAAGAAAAATAAGAACCCGAAACGTAAAGTGTTCTTGACCACTTGAAAAGGCCTGAACTGGAACAGATCTAAATACGGTTGTCATCACTAAAATTAAAGAGACTCACACTGACAGTCTTCAAAATGTTGACGCAATTATTCTGCTTTGAAAAGTTTTGAAAAGGCTGCTTGCAATAGTACAATTAAGAAGAAAAGAAGAAGCCGAGATAAAAAGAAGTGTCGGTGACTCGGAAGATGGACCGAAATTGCATAAGTCGTGGCACAAATCGAACGGGCCGAGAGCGAAGCTTAAAAAAGAAATCAAAGTTAAGTAGATACTAAGTGAACCCATCCTCTGAGACCCATGAGTGGTCAGTTGGGTCAGGAAAAACAGCGGCGAAAGTTTTCAAGAAGGGGCGAGAGGACCCCTGGGATGTTACTCTTAACAAACCAGTTCCACGACTCACTCGAATGTCTGTCTCTAATCCCAATCAGAGGCCAGCATCTATTGCGCTGCTTTAGTGATCTTCCTAAACGAAGGAGTTAACTTGCAAACTCGACTGTTGGCCACACATGCTTGGCTCTTGGCAGGGGAGCTTTCTAGAGGAGAAGAGTTCTCCGGTTAAAAAGGCCTCCAAAAAAACCAGGTAAAGAAATTCCATAATTGGTAAATCCGTATAAACTCATAAACTTATTATGAATGCAGAAACTTCACCCTGTTTCACACAAATAGTTGATATGAATAGAATGGAAACATACATGCATAATACATGTATGGGATTATATGGAAATATTACCCCATAATTTAGCATGTCACCAAAACAAAACGAAACGAAAAATGAACCAATTGAAGAGATCAGCCTGTGAACTGATCGGGGGTAAATTCGTAAACACTAGAGTACTTCTAGGCTTTTTCATGCAACATCGTCTTCGTGATTGTTTACGCCTACTCGGTATTCTTGTCAGGCACGTGCAGGAGAATTTTTTTCGCCATTTAAAGTTTGTAAATTTGTTTTTAAAGTTTTCTGCTCAGTTATACATGAGGATAGAATGAAACTTGTAGAGTAAACTTTGGGGGCTCATTTTCACTGAAACTCTTAACGAAGAAAGCTCTCCTGCATGAGCCAGACTGATACAGACAGAGGAGAAAATTTATCACGGTTGTAGAGGAAACAGTCGAGTTTGCAGGTAAACTGGTTCGTAAAAAAAGACAAAGCAGCGCGATAGATGCTGGCCTCTGATTGGGAACCAAAATATTTTTTGTGCCCCAGTACAGACAAACATTCAAATGAATCGTGGAGCTGGTTTGCTAAGAGAAGCATTCCAGGGGCTCTCTCGCCCGTTATTGAAAACTTTCGCCGCTGTTTTTCCTGATCCAAATAACCACTCCTGGGTCTTTCACCGCCATTATTCGTACCCAACTGACCGCCCCTGGCTCTCCGAGGGTGGAGTGAACCTATCTAGATTCCCTACTGAAGACCCGGAGTACTTGTCATGAATAATTATAATGACCTAATAGGGGCTGCATTTATAGCTGTTTGGTAGCTCAGTTGCTCGAAGTGTTCGGTGGCTTGAAACACGCAGCCTTGTTTGTAAGCCTGAGTTTTCCGTGGTGACTGGTTGCAAGTTAAGCCTTGCTACTGCTGGTAACAATGTCCCTTTATCTTCTTGCTGACATTCCTTTTGAGTCCGTTAACATGAAGCGCGCGACGAGGCATCTCGATGCAAAAAATACAATTAATTGAACTAATAGACCTTGTCACAATTTTGAAAGCCATTCTGACGTGTAGGTAACCGTGTGATAAATTACAGTGTTTGTATGAGAATCTAATGTTGACTATTTTATATGACATAAATATCTGGAAAAAACATAGAATAAACAATTTCATCGTCATTTTAGACTAAACCTGCTAAATTTCCTGTACTTCCAGTTAGATGGTCAGAATGGCGGCCAGTTTAGAAATCACTCCAAAACCCGCTTTAACAAGACACAGAAGGTGAACAATTCGGCTCCAAATCTGCACATATCTAATAATAATAATAACATGTTTAAACAGGATGACCATTTCAGTTATAAAAACTGCTATCAATATGGGTCCTGTATAAAAATAAATGAATAAAAAGATAAAAACGTTAATTATATACGAAACTGGGATACATTACATAATTATAATCAATGAAAAAAAGTAGCCTCCTTATGAACAAAACTACATACAATCATTAAAAAGGGTAGCCCCCTTATAAACAAAGGCCCTCTTAGTCAACTCGAAATTGACTTTATCAATAGATAACCTATCCTTAGACCTAGTGTCATAGTCATGAATATCATAAGTTCGCCGTCGAAAATAATCTGAGAAATAACTTGCAGCTTGTCCATCAAGACAATTCTTGACAAGTTTGACGATATGTTTCTCTCTTCTCGTCTTAAGAGGGTCCAAACCAAGACCAGAAGCCATATCTTGAGTGGACAAATGCACCGTCTTTAACACTATCCTAGCAGCACGTCTCTGCAGGCGTTCCAATTCTTCTTCATTTCCTTTACCACAGCCATGAAAAACAGCACAACAGTATTCCAAATTTGGTAGTATCATCGATTTATACAATCGGTTCAGTTGTTAATGATGATCTAATTCTTGAAAACATCCCTAGTGTTTTAGAAACCTTCTTCTTTACATAGTCAATATGCAAATTAAAGGAAAGACTGTTGTCCAAAACTACGCCTAGGTACTTAAAGGCATCACAGTGTTTCACAGAGGCGTTCAGATAGTAGAGCGCGGGGGAAAAATTCACGAAGAAAACAAAAACGAGGGGAAACTAGAGAGGGAAGGGCCCCCCCGTTCCTCGCCCCCCGTTTTCCCGGTGTACAACTTAATTAACTCGCTCCCCACTTACCGCCGCGCTCTACTATCTGAACGCCTGGAACAGGCTACCGACAGTGTGAATACGGAGACAACTCGAACGAAAAATATTTTTAAAGCTATATAAATGTAAATTTTATGCCTGATTAGGCAATTTTATTGCTTCAAAGCGAAGGCAGTAATGGCTAGTATAATGAAGATGATGTGAACCGCGGAAAAACAAATTAAAAAAAAAAAAAAAGATATGATCGCCACAGTTGTAATACAGCGATTTTCGTATGATCTTAAAAAATGGTTTCGGTAAGTGTTCGTTATTTGTTTTATCAGCCAATGGCTGAAAAGATCAAAACATGACCTCTTCGTTTTCCCGCCATAGAAAAGCCGAATATGGAGAAGGCATTGTTCGATTGGCCAATCGTGTTGCAGTATGACGTCAAAGCGAAGTATCGATTGATTGTAGAAAGTTCTCAGGCATGAGGTTTTTTCACCCCAACGTTCGCTTAACCAACCAAAAGCCACACATGTTTGTATTCGTTTGATAAACAAATCATATCGCTCTATTTCCGTTCGCTCGTTGTTTCTGTTTTGTTGGCGCGTTTTCATTTCAAGGTCATATGAAAATCGGCTTAACAGTTTAAGCAACTGCAAAATACATAAAGCCGATAAAAAATTTTGAGGCTTTAACGGGATTCGAACTCATGGCTTCTGCGTTGCAGTGCTCTACCATTACTGAGCTACTTTACTGAGATACATTGGGAGCAGGCCGTTTTGATGGTGGCGATGGTTTGTGCTCTAAGAAACGTACTCAAATGGTGATAGTATTTTAGTGAGAAAGTCCTTGTATATTGTTACATATAATTTTTCAGTGAATACAGAAGCAACAAAATTACCTTATCTCGTCCAGCGCCTCATGCACCTCCTCTGCATTTATGAGAGTCACTTCCAGTTCCCCTTTGCATCCAACCTTTTCAAATTCTTCCTCCAGCCGTCTCTTTACTCTTCCATTTTCTAAGTCTTCCATTAAAGAGCGGAAACTTTTTGTCGTATAACAGTGCAATTCGACAAGAATTGAGTTATACGGCTGTACGTTCCGGATGTTACGTGCTGCTTCGTCAACCAAAACAGTATCTAACACTTTCCTTACTACATCACTGATTAATTCAACTTTGTCAATTAACGGATTGCCAGAAACTTTAATGATAACCTTGTATTCGGATCGACCATCGCGTGTGCTGGTCAACCTCGAAACAGCGACTTCAAATTCCTCTTGTTGCTGTCCTGGTGCACCTGACAGTGGATGGGAAAAGGAGAAATTGTACCTTAACAGGAGCCAATCGCCTTTGGCCGTTCATCTTTCGTTTAATTAAGGTCTACGTCATGATCAAAGCGTTTTAGATTTTTGCAGATTCATCTTTCGCATGATAGAACTATCACCCAATCAGAGCCGAGAATGATTTCCAACAAGGTACCGTAGTGGATGAGGTACACGAAGTGACAAGCGAAGAGAGTTTACTGATTGGAGATTACTGAACGGTAATTTTGCATTTTTGCGGGAAAAGAAAACATGCTAGAAATAGACGGAAAATCTAACGCACTATGATACTTATTAGCAGCCAATGGACAACCCGGAGTGATGAACTCCTGACCTTTATGGGTTGGTCTAAGAGCTGATATGATTTTTAACTTCTCTTTTAAATGACAAATGACAATGGCTACGCCTATTGGTAGAGCGACGCTTAGTGTGTTAAAGGTGCGTTCTTTCTTCGTCATGATGATGATGGTTTCACAGGGATCACGTAAAAGACAAATTGTGGTTGAGTGATTAGGGTAACAGATCTTAAGGAGAATCTAATCACTGATAACTCTAGGCTAAGATTAAATGGAAAAATAATTACATGTACTATAAAGCCTTACACTCCCATAGTAAATAAAAGACTCTTACAAGGTGGTCCTAATTTTGGAGTCTATGGATGAAATCCTACGGTGCCGGACTATCCAAATGAAGACTCTTCAGCAGTACTTTCACATGCTGGGGTACTATTTTTTTATTGTGTAGTTCTAACTTCTGAGTCTGTGGACAAAATCCTATAGTGTGACCATTCAAATGGAACGTCTTTGGCAGTACTGTCACATGATACTACTTATTTTCAACAATTTTATAAAACGAAATTTTTACTTTTTCTCGAATTTTGACTTTGGCCACTAATTAGAATGACTGCCTACGTTTTCTTTCTCTGTCAACTGCGTAACAGATCATTTACCAAATACAAGATAGATAAATTTCCACAAAAAAAAATGCACACTTCAAGTATAAGCTACGGTGAGCCAATGAATTTGCAGAAATTCAATAATTATAGTTCACTTTTAATTAAAGTACAAGGAGCACTGTAAGATCCAATGGCGAGCATATTGCAGCTATATTCTAAAGATTTTGTAGCTGCTATTTTGTCCGCTTTTTAACTAAAGAAGACTACGTACATTACGTATTTACTTTTGCGCTAAAACATTGAATCAAAATGAGATTTAGAATCACGTTTGAGAAGACGACAAACGTCAATTTGTAACTTGTAGTATACTTTCCATTATTAAAATTAGCAGTTTCACGCTACAATAATTTGTTGAAACACCTCCGTTAACACAAGATAAACTAAGTGGTTCCAAAAATACGTTTATCGTTTTCTCCTTTTCCCCCCAATGTTGGTTTCATGCGCTTGCTTGGGCATAAACGTCATCGAAATCAACATTAAAAGGAAAGGGACGAAGAAATCGGCTGGCGTTTCAACCCAGGAATATAGTTTCATCCATAAGAACAAGAAGCGAACGCAGATTGAATAAAACGATTTCTTGCATAAATCAACTGTATTTACGAAACATAAACATGATGAACAAACTACAAGAATTTACAACGCAAGCGAAAAAACACATGTCGAAAAAAACTAAAGGGGGGTCCGAACCCTGAAGACTAACTTAGGGCCTAGTTCCCACGCGTCCCAACAATCTAACAGAATATAAAATTTCAGTTCCGAACATCCTCCCGCCCGATGTAGGGAGTGCATCTTCAAATTGATCAATAATGTTCTCATCAAGCTCAATATTTGTCAACGTTCCTTTGTCAGTTCAATCAAGTTCAGCAGCTAGATCAGCATCACAGGCTTCAAAAAGGTGTAGCCGCTGCACTGGACGACGGGTAAGACTTCCAGATGTCAGTCGCAAGGTAACTGATCGGATAAGACCATCACGACCAGGATAGGTGACTTCCACACGCGCACGTTTCCACTGACCTCGAGCTAAGTTATCTTCGCTAACAAGGACCAAGTCACCTTTGTGTATCTCGCGACCAACTGTAAACCATTTCTTGAGGGGTATCAAAGATCTCAGGTACTCAGCATGCCAACGCTTCCAAAATCCATTGACAGGTTTTTGATGATGCTGAAAACGCTTAGTGATGGCTCTAGAAGTGTGTTCCGAAACACGGGTGTCCTTAGCTGGAGACGCTTGAAGATTTCTCCCAATGAGAATCTGAGCAGGAGTAATCACGCTGTAGTCCCCAGGGTCTGCACTAACGTAAGTAAGAGGAAGACTGTTCAGCTGTGCCTCAATTTCAGTTAAAATGGTGGTCAGCTGTTCAGCATCCAACATTGCTTTGGCAAAGATTTTCTTCAGAGGTGTCTTGACACTCTTCACAAGACGTTCATAAAACCCACCCCACCATGGGGATCTCTCCACGATATACTTCCACTGAATCTTCCTTTCAGACAATGCGACCTGCGTTTTGTCAGCTTCAAGTACTCTCCAGCATTGCTGCAAATGTTTATTAGCACTCTTGAATGTTTTAGCATTATCTGACCAAATAATACTGCACATTCCTCTTCTTGCCACCATTCGTCTTAAGGCAAGGAGAAACCGCTCCGCAGTCATGTTGCTCACTAACTCTAAGTGTATTGCACAGGTAACTGCACAGGTAAATAGACAGATGTAAGCCTTTTCGCCACTGTCTTTTAAAAACAATGGACCAGCAAAGTCCAAACCAACATTAGTAAATGGCGGTGCAGGTTTGATCCTGTCTTCAGGAAGTGGTGCCATCTTCTGCATAAACGGCTTCGTATGGTAATGGCGAAAAACTAGGCAGTTCTTTACTGTCTGGCGGACTGTTGATCTTCCTTTGATCAACCAAAATTTCAGTCGTAGGACTGATAAAGTACACTCAACGCCAGCATGGAGTTCACGGCAATGAACATCTTCAATCAGGAGCTTCACAACAGGATGGTTGGAAGGCAAGATAATAGGATGCTTCTCCTCTTCCGGTAATGAAGAGTTATGAATTCTTCCTCCAACGCGAAGTAAGCCACTAGTAGGGCACAGAAATGGATTTAAATTTGCTATCTTACTGTCCTTCAAGGGACCACCATGTTTAGCCAACGAAGCTACTTCGTCAAAACTTGTTTTCTGTACATGGGCTATCAGCCATTCTTCTGCCTCTCGTATCTCTAGTCCAGTTAAAGGAGTTGAAAGTCTCTCTTCTTCTTTCAACTTCGAGTTGCGAATGAATCTTCTCATCCATGCAACAGTTCTTAACAATCGACTGTACTTGCTGAACCTGGCGTTGTCAATAAACGGTTCTCTAGTTTGGACAACACAGCTGCCAATAGCTTTACTCTTCCTCTCCACTTGTACAGCTTCATTTGGAGACTTGGATCTTAAATCCTCTGGCCAATCCTTTTCTAACTCTTGCAACCAAGAGGGCCCCTTCCACCACAACTGGCTCTCTCTAAGCTGGCTGACAGATAGGCCTCGGCTAGGTAGATCTGCTGGATTATGCGACCCTGGGCAATATCTCCAAACACTAGGATCCAACAGCGACTGAATCTCCATGAAACGGTTAGCAACAAATGGTTTCCACTGTGAGGCTGATCCTCTGATCCAGTGCAAGGTGGAAGAATTGTCCGTCCAACAGACAATGCGGCTAATAGGACAGTCAATTGCATCACAAGGCTTGTAGACGCCTTCCCTTCCTTAGGAACAACTCTGATGTAGATGGCGGTGGCATGCGCAACTTCTGATGCATCACCAAATGCGTGTAACTCCACTTTTGCATGCTGGCTTAAAGGCCAATCAATGTAACTTCTTGGAATGTGAAGCTGTTCAAGCTCTCAAAGCTCTTGAACCCACTGAACCCACTTCCTAGAGGTTTCTTCAGGTAACTCATCATCCCAACCAACACCCTGGGTCCACAGACTCTGAAGCAAAAGTTTTGACCTTACTGTAAAAGGCGAGATGAGACCAATCGGATCAAAGATCTTTGCTGCTAAAGAAGCTAGTTCTTTCTTAGTGTACAATGTCTCTGATTTCAATTTAATAGAGTCCAATTTTAATCATAAAGACAAGGCTGTCTGTTCTCGTATTCCACTTTAGACCTAAAGCTTTCATAACTGGATGCATTCCCGGTAGTTCACTGTCCAATCTGATCAAACTATCTGATGCTCTATCTTTCTCAGGAATGGCTTGCATAACCTCAGGCGAATTGCTGGACCATTTTGTCAAATTGAAAGCTGCTTGCTCCATAAGCTGTTTTGAACTTTGCTGTAACCTCACAGCTTCACGTACAGTATCTTTCCCTGAGGCAAAGTCGTCAACATAAGTGTTCCTCAGGATTTCATCTGATGTTTCAGGGAATGTTTCTTTACATCTCCTTGCGTGCTCTTGAGTAGTACAGATGACAAGGAATGGACTAGAAATAACTCCAAACCTAACTCTTGTCATTCGATAAATCTTAGGTGTAGCATCAGGGTCCAAATCTCTCCACAGGAAACGATGTGAATCCCTATCTTCTTCTTTCAAGCCAATCTGCAAGAACATCTTTTCAACATCACCCATGACCCCCACCTGATTCTTTCTGAAGCGCAGAAGAATTCCGACCAAATCAGGGTGCAATGCAGGGCCCGCTTCTAAGCAGCTATTTAGAGACACACCATTTACATCTCTCGCAGATGCATCAAATACAACCCTCGTCTTAGTTGTTTGCTTATCTTCTCGGATAACAGCATGATGTGGAAGGTAAAACACAGGACGCCCATTTGCTGGTGCATACTGCTCATAGGGTACCTCTTCTGCTACTCCGTCCTCCACATACTTATTAATGGCCTCTTGGTAGGACTTGGCTTTGGATGAATCTTGCAGCAGATTCCTCTCCAGATTATACAGACTACTTCTTGCTTGCTTGTAATTATCTTTCAGTAAAACTTGCTCATCTTTCCATGGCAGTGAGACTTCATACCGACCATTCTTGTATGCTAATGTCTCTTTAAACTTTTTTAAGACTGTACTTTCACTTTGGCTGTTGGAAACTGACATTTCAACAGGTGTAATACCAATGGACTCCAAGTTCCAGAACTTCTGAAGTGTATCATTTAGTTCTTGGTTAGCACAAACTTGAACACTCATAGACACAGTGCAATCTTGGCCATGATCACCCGTTGGTCCACAGAAGACCCAACCTAACGATGTACGAAGTGCCACTGGTTCATTAGGACCACCTCTCACATCATCTCTGGATACAAAGGAATAATAGAAACCCAAGCCAATGAGAACATCAATCTCTTGTTCGTTTCGGGGAAATTTCTCTGGAAACTTTATATCTTGAAGATGAGGCCACTTGGTAGGATAAACATCCACAGCATCAGCTGGACGGCATAGAACTGGAGCAGTTAGTGCCTCAACACCTTGTGGCTTTCCAGGGTCGCTGACCGGTGCTATCGTAAAGGAAATTCTCTTTCGCAAAGTGTCCCTAGCAGATTTTCTTCCAAAACCCGAGACTGCAATTCTCAAGGTCTCCCCATCAAGACCAAGCTCTTCAACCACACTCTGTTGGACAAAGGACGTTTGGGAGCCGGGATCAAAGAAACATCTGACAACCTTTTTGCAACCATTGGATCCACAAAGGACAGCAGGAACAGTCTGCAGGATCACCTTCCCACCTGAATTAACCGCAATGGAACTTGCTACTGTGGAAGACGACAAGGGAGGAGTTGCAGATGAGGATGGTGGCTCAGAGGACTTTGAATTGGCTTCTTCTGGCTGAGACTTGACTGGTTCCAAGTGCAGGAGACTGTGATGTTTACCACGGCAGTATTTACAGAGTGGTTTTTGACAAACTTCAGCGCTGTGACCAGATTCAAGGCACCGAAAACACAGTCCTTTGGATACCGCTTTTCTAAATCTTTCTTTGACTGGCAATGACAGGAAACTGATGCACGACCACACCCAATGGTTTTTACCACAAATGATGCACACACGCCCTTGAGTTGTCGTGCACAAGGCAGAGGTAGAGTACTTTCGTGAAGGGTTAAACTTGGAATGGGCTCCATGATTCCAACTGTTTTCCTGTGCAGGGGGGACTTCGATTGAAGAGAGGGAGGCTGGGAGGACTCCTTAGCTCTTATTAACTGTTCTAGGAAGGCAAACAATGTTTTCAATTTCACATAGTCCTCTTTATGGTCACCAATTTCTAATTCCCACTTCTCCACAACCTTTTTCGGTAACTGGTCAACAATTAAAGGCACGAGAACAGGCGCCAAGGTCTCGGAACGGAACTTCTCTCCCATTGATTCAACAGAACGAACATGACCAACTACTTGAAAATAAAATTTACGCATGGACAATGCATCTTCAGAATTCAACTGTGGCAAATGAATTAGGGACCTTATGTGTGCATCAAGAATCAACCGCGGATGGCCAAATCGTTCCTTCTACTGGCTGATAATTCTCTTGTATGACTGCAAACCCTTTAACCGCTTCGGCAGCTGAACCTTTCAATGATCTCATTAGGTATTCTAATTTCTGAACATCAGCTAAAGATGGATTATCCACCACTGAGACTTTAATTGACTGATAATAAGACTGCCAGCTTAAAACATCGCCATCAAGTGTTGGCAGATCAATCTTTGGAAGCTTCACTTGTACCTTGGGGCCTAACGACAACGGCGCTTGGGCTGCGGTTGAATTACTTCCAGCGCTTTCCTTACCGACATGTTTACTTTCTAAGTAATGCATCATTTTCGCCATGTATTCAATGACACGCAATTCGTACTCGTTATGACTCTCGCATTCTTCATCAATCTCTTTCTCTTCCAATAGAGTACACATTGAGGCCTGAACTTCTTGAAGATCGTTCCATTTATTTGCAATGTTATCTTTCAAAACCTGAATTCTAGAATGGTTATCGGGGATTGACAGAGCTTCGTCGATAGACTTCAAGGTGTCCGTCACGGACTTTCTAAGAAAACGTCTTTTCTTCTTAATAGCCTCCAGGTCATTCACCATCTTCATACACAATCTCCACTAACCTTGAATGACAGTTTCGTTCCTTAAAACACTCCAAAATTTCTGCAAAGTTCACAAGAGATAATGGCGCCAATCGCCACACTGCCAAGACCAACTTGACCAAATTCTTCACCACAAACGGAGGTCCAATTCTCAATTCTCCGCTGGTATCTTCAAATACTCGCCGACACTGTAGATCCGGCTACTGAAGGACCATGAATAAAACGATTTCTTGCATAAATCAACTGTATTTACGAAACATAAACATGATGAACAAACTACAAGAATTTACAACGCAAGCGAAAAAACATATGTCGAAAAAAACTAAAGGGGGGTCCGAGCCCCTGAAGACTAACTTAGGGCCTAGTTCCCACGCGTCCGAACAATCTAACAGAATATAAAATTTCAGTTTCGAACACAGATTATTGAGTGTGTTCGTCGGTGTGCTTGTTTCATGGCGGCCGGAAACATGTGTCATTGCGTTTTGCCGTGAAAGCAAATAGTAATCAACGAAGACCTCACAAGAAATAGCCTGCGTCGCAGAGAAAAGCCGGAAATAAAATTAATACTTATTCTAATATAGGAGAGTGTTCCGATCGCAAAAACCAAACCTTGAAGGCAACGAAAAGGTGCAGGAACAACGAAAAAGTTCACCGCTTATAATTACTAGCAAAAGAACCCAAGATTATGAACTGTGTTCTCCAATCGTCGTACGCAATTATTTTGGACTGTTCTCTTCTCTTTTATCAGCTCATTTCCTTGTTCACTTCACTGTGATGTCTGACATTGACATTTGCACTAAACGTGGTTCTAAATCTCCCTACAATCATTATCCTAGACACCGCCATCATGATGATCACAAATATTAGCAACAGATTATTGTTATGTGTGGAGTTGCCTACGGAATTTAGCATGTTTGTTAGTCTTTGAGGTGATTCATATTCTTTTATAATTTTGCCACTCTTCAGTGGTTTTAAGTCAAAATAATGTTGTCACACAGAAGTTTTCCGGCTAACGAACAAGACTTGGAAGAAAAGTTTATTGGAGCGAGTATGAAGAATTGGTCGTTGATCAACATTAAGCCACTAATGGACTGCAAAACAGTCGGATTTTTTCCCTAAAATTCGGTTTAGTGTAACGTAGTTTTGCTGTCTAAGTCAGTAAAGATATCTTTACCTTGTAACGTTAACGTAGACGCATTGGAGTAAACTGTGCCCACACTGTTGGCAGCCACACATCTGTATTCTCCACTGTCTGTCCTATTCACATTTGTAAGGCTCAGTTGTTTGTTATCTGCTGATAAACTGATTCTATTGTCCGCAGTTACTGCAGATCCATCTTTGCTCCAAGAAAATGTTGGTTCAGGAACACCATTTGCATCACATGAGAAGGTTACACTTGATCCTTGCATCGATGTCTGACTATGTGGGTGTGCAGTGAATTCTGGAGGAACTGTAATAAGAAAGAAATAAAATAATAACTAAACCCTCTTTTTCCATTTAGTTTCTGAAATCACCTACAGATTGATGTTGATAAGGAGTGGCTAAAATAGATCCAGGCAGGGAAAGGGAAAGTAAAATTTACAAATGTTCACTTAGCACCACAGGATTGCACAATGATTTGACTTAAGTAAAAAGTGAGTGAAAGTTTTCTTACAATGTACTGTTAATGTAGCTGCATTGGAGTTAACTGTGCCCACACTGTTAGCAGCCAAACATCTGTATTCTCCGCTGTCTGTCCTATTCACATTCGTTAGGCTCAGTTGCTTGTTATCCGCTGATAAACTGATTCTATTGTCGGCGGTTACGGAAGATCCATCTTTGGTCCATGAAAATATTGGTTCAGTAACGCCATTTGCATCACTTGAAAAGGTTACACTTGATCCTTCCACAAGTGTCTGACTCTGTGGGTGTGCTGTGAATTCAGGCTGATCTGTCATAAGAAATGAATGACTAAATGCACCTTACTAACCAGAATGATGTACATTTTCAGTTTTATATCTACTTAACAAAATACTTTAGGCCTGAAGTTAATGATGTACTTCAATGATCTTAAGACACACTGACAAAACAAAACTTAGCTAATCGATTGCTATATGTGTTGACCAAGGAAACTAAGTCTTTTAACAGTAAATGTGATTCTGAGATGTTCTACATCATACTCGCAGTCACTGCATTGATTGACAGCATCAGTGTTGAGCGACCCTAGCAGTCTCAGGGTTGTCACTAAGGGCCGGAGGCCGGGGATTTCCCCCGGCTACTCAGAGCATGGCCCCCGGCTACTTTCGTCGTTAAATTAAACCAAACGAGCACACCTTTGAAACACGCGAAGACTATCCATCAAACTAAATGCAAGTTTCATCTGCAGCAGGTTTCAGTAATTTTGAAATACTCGCGTGCAAAAACTAAGAAATGTCGTAAAAGACATCTGACTTAGATGTGGTACTAGTACACACGTGCTAAAACTCTCCGTTCGCGAAATGTCAGTAGAAAGTTTTAGCAACGACGACGGCGACGGCAACGAGAATGTCAAAAAAGCAATTGGTTTATTGAGCAAAACAACTAGTTTGCACGTGCATCGTGCTTTTTTGTACATTTCTTTGCTGTTACTGCACGACTACGACGTGAAAATGCCTAGCTTCACGTCTTATATAGAGGACGAAAAACAAGCGACGACAAACTTTTCTTTCTCTTTCTAAACTTGAGTGCGGTCCCAAAGAAATCAACTCCAGGGAAATTGGCCTACATTAGCTATTTTCAGCGAATTGAAATAAACGCGACAAAGTTGGAAAAAACGCCAATTCATTTTAAAAGAGACGTTTTCGCTGCCGTCACCTTTGTCGATGCTAAAAGTCCCTAGTTTCAACCGTTGTGTCCGCTTTGTGTTGAACGTGTCGAAGAAATGGCAGAAGAATCTGCACGCTTTGTTCACGATGAAAGACCTGACCAGATCTCTGTTGACATCACAAGTTGAGGCATCATCCGAGCGTTAAATCTCCCTGATGCTGATGTTGATGATAATGAGGATTATGATGAAGGCTTTGAAGATGAAGACTATGACTGATTGCAATCTTTAATAATTATATTGACATTTAAGTGATCAGGTCTACATTTAGCTTTTGGTATGGAGTATATAAAAGAACGCACGGTCAACGGGAAATATTCGATCATTGTCCGCAGGTCATGATCACATCCTCTCAGTTCTACTTCCAAGAATTTGTATATAAAAGGGAAGTTAAGCATTAGCATTACTTTTGCATTTTTCTCCTTGAGTCTCGTTTTGACATCTCAGCGTCGTTTATAAAGGATTATCCCTGTCGTTTAAACGCTTTTCGTAGGTCAGTTTCTTCGTATGTTAAGTGATGTTTCGTTCATAAATTTGAGACCACTAATGTTACCAGTTGTGTAGTTTAGTTTTGCCATATTTTATCCCGCGAGTTTTCGTACGTTACGCTTGTTTTAGCCTTATCATACTTTCATTTTTCAACAAGCCATAGTAATCTTATGTTTATTATGCTTTTTCGTACATTCATCGTCCGCTTGTCTTCTTTCCGCTTCTCCGTGGGTTAATTCACTTGTAATATTAGTTTTAATTTTGCTTTCCGTAAGTTGTTTCGTTCTTACGTATAACTAAATGAGGATTTACAATTGATTTTACAGCGCATCTTAATTCACTTGCACGGTATAAGAATCGATTGTCCTTTCCACATTTTTAACATTTGTAAAGTATCGTTGTGATTTAACACTTCACTGGCCAGCATGCGCCTTGTCTGCGTGAAGGTAAGACTGCGCAGATAACGTGACCGGTGCCAACCTGTCATTTTTTTTCAGGCCCGGTGCTTAAATGTATATTCCCAATTGGCGGCTACTAAAAAAAAACCTCCAACGAGCCTTCACGTAAGGTAAAAACTTATTATTTTAGTGTCTCAAAATGTCGTAGTTTTCTTTAATAAAGACGTGATCATCGTAAAACCGCTAATGATAGCTGTACTCTTGATGAAGATTGCTTATTTGGGGCGGTAATGCCTTTTGGAAAACGGTAGAAGTTGCACTTCAAAAACGTCTTCGGGGGGGGGGGAGGAGGGGCTCCATGACTGCTTGCGACTTCCCCGGCTACTAACGACAAATACCCGGCAACTTGAAATCTTAGTGACAACCCTGCTAGCAGTATTCTGGACACTAGTCCAAGACCACAAGAAACTGGGTTTACTTGTCAATGAGTAACATACAGTTATGTAAACACTTCTCATATAAAGATACTAATATGAATAAGGAAAAACACAAGGCTCTCTTGATTAGCAAAAAAAATACAAATACAAAATAACTGTGTTTGCTAGCATTCTACAACTTTTTTGATTCTGAATAAAGGAATAGTGAGAGGTAATCAAGTTAGAGGGGCACCTGACAAGCCCTTTATTTCGAAAGGCAGCGCTCATATGGAGTAACCGAGATAATCTAGGATAGGAGCAGTGGGAGTGATTTTTCAATTGGGTTAAAATAAAAAGTAAGTAAAAGTTTTCTTACAAAGTACTGTTAATGTAGCAACATTGGAGTTAACTGTGCCCAGACTGTTGGTAGCCACACATCTGTATTCTCCACTGTCTGTCCTATTCACATTTGTAAGGCTCAGTTGTTTGTTATCTGCTGATAAACTGATTCTATTGTCAGCAGTTACAGCAGATCCATCTTTGCTCCAAGAAAATGTTGGTTCAGGAACACCATTTGCATCACATGAGAAGGTTACACTTGATCCTTGCATCGATGTCTGACTATGTGGGTGTGCAGTGAATTCTGGAGGAACTGTAATAAGAAAGAAATAAAATAATAACTAAACCCTCTTTTTCCATTTAGTTTCTGAAATCACCTACAGATTGATGTTGATAAGGAGTGGCTAAAATAGATCCAGGCAGGGAAAGGGAAAGTAAAATTTACAAATGTTCACTTAGCACCACAGGATTACACAATGATTTGACTTAAGTAAAAAGTGAGTGAAAGTTTTCTTACAATGTACTGTTAATGTAGCTGCATTGGAGTTAACTGTGCCCACACTGTTAGCAGCCAAACATCTGTATTCTCCGCTGTCTGTCCTATTCACATTCGTTAGGCTCAGTTGCTTGTTATCCACTGATAAACTGATTCTATTGTCAGCGATTACGGAAGATCCATCTTTGGTCCATGAAAATATTGGTTCAGTAACGCCATTTGCATCACTTGAAAAGGTTACACTTGATCCTTCCACAAGTGTCTGACTCTGTGGGTGTGCTGTGAATTCAGGCTGATCTGTCACAAGAAATGAATGACTAAATACACCTTACTAACCAGAATGATGTACAAATTTCAGTTTAACATCTACTTTACAAAATACCTTAGGACTGAAGTTAATGATGTACTTCAATGATCTCAAGACACACTGACAAAACAAAACTTAGGTAACCAATTGCTATATGTGTTGACCAAGGAAACTAAGCCTTTTAAAGGTAAATGTGATTCTGAGATGTTCTACATCATACTCACAGTCAGTGCATTGATTGACAGCATCAGTGTTGTGCGACCCTAGCCGTACTCTGGACTCTAGTCCAAGACCACAAGAAACTGGGTTTACTCGTCGATGAGTAACGTACAGTTAAGTAAACACTTCTCATATAGAGATATTAATATGAGTAAGGAAAAACTCAAGGCTCCCTTGATGAGCAAAAAACCACAAATACAAAATAACTGTGTTTTCTAGCATTCTACAACTTTTTTGACTCTGAATAAAAGAATAGTGAGAGGTAATCAAGTTAGAGGGGCACCTGACAAGCCCTTTATTTTGAAAGGCAGCGCTCATATGGAGTAACTGAGATAATCCAGGATAGGAGCAGTGGAAGTGATTTTTCAATTGGGTTTAAATAAAAAGTAAAAGTTTTCTTACAATGTACTGTTAATGTAGCAGCATTGGAGTTAACTATGCCCACACTGTTGGCAGCCACACATCTGTATTCTCCACTGTCTGCCCTATTCACATTTGTAAGACTCAGTTTTTTGTTATCTGCTGATACACTGATTCTATCATTGGCAGTTACAGCCGATCCATCTTTGGTCCAAGTAAATGTTGGTTCAGGAATGCCATTTGCATCACTTGAGAAGGTTATATTTACCCCTTCCCTCGGTGTCTGATGATTTTTAGGATGTGTGGTGAATGCTGGCTCTTCTATAAAAAGTAATGTCATATTTTAATAAAACATACATTTTTCAGAAATAGGGTATATGATAAGTAGCTTAGCTTTAATAATTAATAGCTATTTATCATATAATCTTGATGCTACATGTAACTGCATGTAAATCAGATCATTCGTACTAATTCAGGGTTCATACAAAAAATTGCAACCATTTTTCAAGGGCTTTTAATTTTAAGGACCACATTAGATTTTCAAGGACCACCTTCTATATAATTTCACACATTGTCCAAAAATACATATTCCCAGTCTTTTTCTAATAAGGCTTTAATTTAAGGCTTGTACTGTTTGCTTCACCAACAACTCTACATTTTTCAGTTCACTTGTCTTAAATTGATAATAAATTCTTGCATAAAACATAGAGCACTTTATCAAAATAACAATCAAATTCTCTGAGCTATGGCTTATATTATGTCTTGGACAACCAAACACTTTCCAGGCCACTTTTCCAGGCCACTTTATTCAAAGTTGAAGAAAATTCAAGGACTTTTCAAGGACTTGCAAAGAAATTTGAGGACTTTTCATGGAAAAATGGAATTCAAGGACTTTTCAAGACTGTGCATACCCTATAAGTTGTAGTCTCAAGACAAACTGATATATAATATAAGTAATACTACAGTTAAGCTTCCCATAAGCGACAACCCAAAATGCCAATACCAGAGTGAGTGATTGCAAATGAGAGATGGTCACAAGAAAAATAGAATCAAAAGAGTCAGCTCTTCTAGGAACAGACCTGTCTGATTCACCTATTTATTCCAAGAAAATTTGTAGCATAGTCATACCCATCTTTGATTTCAAATTTTGTCCCTCTGAGAAAAAAAGCCATTCCTTTTGCTACCCTATTTAATTTAACATAGCAGACCTTTTCCAATGACCCTAATTTATTTCATTTTAAATGCAGAAATAATACACTATTAAATAGTTTATCTGGAAAATATAGCACTCGCAAAATTCATAAAAACTACATCCGGGACCCGAGTGGTTTATTTTCCATAATCTCACAAGTGAGTTTAGCGATGACATAATTTCAGTAATCTCCCCCCAAAATTTGAAGGCATCTTGCGTCCTTTGAATTTTAATTACACATTTTTCAAAGTTTTGCTTATATTTTGTCATTGTAGAGCCCTATTCAGCTCAGTGTTATTTCTCAAGATTATTGTAAACCATGTCTTATATTGCTGTACTGTAAATTTGAGCCGTCCCAATTACTTTTTGGCCATTAAAAATCTTTTACTTTATCGATGTCTTTTTGTCTATATAAAATAAAAATTAAAAATAAAAAAATTAAATTAAATAGGGTAGCAAAAGGAATGGCTTTTTGTCGTGGCAAAAACAATATTTTACTCACTCGCTGCGCTTGTTCGTAAAATATTGTTTTGCCACTCGAAAATAAAATTCATATCTTCGCCCCCCCGTGTAATATCCTCTATGTAATTTCTGCATTTAAAATGAAATAAATTTTGTAAATATTTTATGTCTCTAAAGCAGAAAGAAGTTTTAAGTTCCCATGACTTGCTTTTGCTTTTTATGCTAAGATAGAATCGTGATTGTCTGGATTGTGTAGATGACCAGCAAGTTGTATCGAGTTTTTCTTACTATTATCATAAACTATAACAAAATTCTCAAATCTGATTGGCCATCAACTGTCCTGATTTCAGTACTAATGGACAGTACGCGTCATGCATAAATACCGGTAATCACATGAACAATGGGCGCCAGCGCACCTGCGTTCTTAAATGTCTTTTTTGCTCACGGCTAGCCAAAAAACTCTGGGAATTTCTTGCGTTTTAATTAGAAAAAAGCCTAAACTATCACAAAAATTTTGTTATTTTCATGATTAGTTGCTTACAGAACTTCCTGTCATCCAATTCGTTCTGAAATCATACCTGTGATTAACAAATCGGACTCCTGCTTGTTAATCACTTGTACGATTTTAGACCGAATTGGACTCCACTCAGTCCAATTTATTACCATTGTTAATCCTCAAATAAATGGTGCATTCTTCTTATTGGGGGTGGCGTTTAATCGAGGGAGGCGTTTAATTGTAATTTTGTTTCAATCTCAGCATTTAATAAAGATCAGCGTTTACTCCAGGGTTGCATTTAATCAAGTAAAATATAGTATTTCAATCATCATCATTGACATTACTCACCTAATACCCCATTAGACAGGAAACAAGGAATAACTTTGCCCTCAGCGTTGGTCGTCAAAACTCCCACGAGATATTTTTTAAAGTTATCCTCATCAATGATTGGGGATCCGCATAATGTGAGATCGTATAAACCATTATCAATAAGTTTGTAACTACCATCATTGTATATTAATTCCAGGACTTTACATTCATCTCGATAAATCGTGTAAACCCGGAAGTCCCTCTTGAGCTGCTGACCACTCAAACACTTCTTATGAAGACTTTTTACCTCAAAGCTGCCTTTACCGCGGTCACATGCAAAATCACACAAAACTAACGAGAAGTTTCCACGCACTGTAATGCTTATAGGTTTAAGTCGATAGTCTTCGAAGTGTTGCTTTTTGCGTGAATAGCGGTGCAATCGACACCCCGTGATCGGTTCTGGGCCTTTCCAAGTGTCAGTAACTAACAGAACAGAGCCTTCGTTTTGTCCTTCAATAGCAACCGAACATGCCATTCCTTTTGTCTGGCGATTATTTCCTCTGATGGCGTAGATGGCCTTTTTAAAGTCATTGCTGGTAAAGGCCTGCCCCTTGCCAATCCCAGCCATCTTGCTTGAAAGGAATTAGAAGGCGAAGTGATGCACGGTTAAGGACGCGACGCTACGACTGAACGTTCATCTGACGCGCTGGCGCTGTATAAATGCGACTGGCCAGCCTGCCAGCAGCGTTTTCCTCTCATTATACAGCCAGGTCTGATCGCATTCTTACAATTTATAGCTCCTTCCTTCACCCACATCATACCCACATTCTTCCTTCTTTGTTGAGGCGGGTGGGCTCTTGGACGAGAAGGCGGTAATAAATCTATGTCAATCTTATAATGTTCAACAAAGGAGACTTTTGTCTGATTGGCTGTTTGATTTTGTAGTGTTCAGTCTCCTCACCGTGCGTTAGTGAGTAAACAAAGATGGCTGCCAAAGCCAAAGTCCTCCTTCGATCGTTCGTTCAAGATGGCATGGAAAGGTTTACATAGTGTGATGTCTGTCTCTTAGCCTATAGTACTTATAGGGGGCCTTGACAAGATTTTTTTATATGCGTATATTGCTGAGTGCATTGCAAAAAGAACTCATCTAAAGCAAAGTACATCGGCTGGGATGGGAAATTTTTAATTTACAAAATGCTACAATAGAGTCTTTTTTGGAGGAGGAAACGTATTTTCAACTTCACTGAAACGTCCTGCCGACCCGGGGAAAACGGAGAAAGGTAAGCTTACTGTTTAATTGGTATGTTTTATCACTCAAACTGTGTCAGACAACGTCTTGATCTTCAATTATTTAGATGTTGTTGTGTTTTATATAAGCTTAGGCTTAGTTTCTCTGTTTCTTGCCAGGTTGTGAATTTCTGACTCTACTGCCTCTTAATGACGGAGTGATGCATGTAGCGACTCAGAGACCTCCTTATTTTTTTAATTTTTTTTTTCAAAACATTCCTCATCACGGCACCTTCTATTAAAATAAGTCACCTGTTTACTACAAAACTAGGGAAGAATTGGAGTCGGTAAACGTCTGGGTACTTTCCTAACGGATGCGGTTCACTGTAATAAATTTATAATAAATGCTCAAGGGGGGACCCACCATATCCATGTACTTGACTTAATCACTTTTTTGTTGGTTATTTAATACATGTAAATGTACAGTGGCCCAGAAGGGTTACACATGCAAATTAAAAATGTTGCTGCAAATTAAAAATAGTGCATGCAAATTAAAAATTGTACATGCAAACTAAAAATATTACCTGCAAATTAAATATAGTACATGCAAACTAAAAATATTACCTGCAAATTGAAAAAAGAAAACATATCGATGCAAATTAAAAATGAAAAGTCCTGCGCGCAGTACGAGTGATAAGGACCTGGTCTGAGCCGTGCGACTTGGCCTTTCGGCTGTCGGCCCATTCATGTTTCATGTTTGTAATATTTTTAGTTTGCATGTACAATTTTTAATTTGCAGGTAAAATTTTTAGTTTGCAGCAACATTTTTAATTTGCATGTGTGACCCTTCTGGGCCACCGTATAAATGTAGTCCATAGTATGAGCAAACACTACATCTGCATCTACAACTAAAGGGAAAGCAATAATAGCCTATTTCACAGTTACAGTCGAGGCTGGAGTTGACCTTGTTTTGATACAACCCATCCTTCTTTATTATGTAGATCCTGTTGTTCTTATGCAAATAGTTTTTTTTTCCAACAAAATTTACATCTACAAGAAAAGGAAGGAAGTTTAATCACATCAACCTCAACCTCAAATTCGCTCAAAGGCTATGACACAGCATGCGAAGAAAGTCGTGTCCGATAGCCCAGTGCTCGTGGATTTTGCTATCAGGCTAGTGATTTTTTTTTGTAACTTGCCCCACGGGCAAGTGCTTTTTTTGGGGGAAATTCAAATTACAGAAGGATTGTAATCAATCCTGCTAATCAAAAAGGGTTTTGGGCTAGTTGAAAAGACTTGTGGTCTAGTACATGCTAGCTACAGCTTGCCCGAATGGCAGGCTGTAAAACTGACTTTCTTTGCACCCTGATGACACCAAGCCCACAACTGTAAAATGGCCTATTGGTCTTGAATGTACATACTGTAAGTCAGTCTGGATGTCATTCTTTCAGCAATGTAATCATTGTGTTTTCCCTTCAGTGTTCTACCATCTGTGTATTGCCATTAATAATATTATTATTTCGTTTTACCTTCCCTTTCAACAATAATATTAATGTGCACCAGTCATCACGATATACCTGTTTAATAACTTGTGTTACTTGATACAGATTTAGTAACATCAAGATCTACATTGCTCAGGGTAGTGGGTTTTTAAGACTGGTAAATCAGATAATGATACAGAAAAAAACTTATAATGGCTGAAGAAAGAGAGAGTTTCTGTATGAATTTTTTATGAATGGTTACATTGTAGGAACATTATTCTAAGGAGATGCAACAGTTGTACAAAAATTTTGTTCTTCCTATTTTTTATCAGATGTTTACCAGACCCAAAGTTTTAGTTTGTATAATAAGACAATTTGTGAATTACGCTCTGAAAAATTTTTGCATAGTATGAATTAATGTGCTTAGTCACACTATCAAAAAGGACATGTGACAAATAAGCAGCTGAACATCATGCATTTTTGCTGAAGAAGCCTTGATGATAAGAGTCTCAGCTCTTTGTTAGAGCTGAGAAAAAGTGTATTTCCAATGCATGTCTACAAAATAATATTACAAACACTATATGGCTTAAAGTGTATGGTTATGATCATGGCATGATCTGTTTTGACACAAGACTCTGATATTTTACTCAAGATGAAGAAAATATTTTTCAGCATTCAAAACATAAAGGATATGTTTAGAAAGTTTGACTGTATACTGTATATTGAAGGCAAGAGTCCAAAATAATTCCACACAGAATAGCTCTCAACGCTGTGCTTGCAATTGTGCTTGCAGTTTTAGGACTTCATACTTACATTATTATGCGTCCAAGTGGAAAATATGGCAGCTGGCACCTCATCATGAATATAATGTGCTGTTTCTCATATTCCTGGGAGCAGCTACTCAACAACATTTTACAAGGGGTGGTTTCGCCCCAAGTTGCCTACATTTCTCTGCACCCTTTGAGGTTGTGCAAACACATAGACCAAACCCAAGGTCCAATGTCTTATCCTTTATTGCTGACAGGAAAGGTGTCCCTTTTCTCTCTTTCCCCCATCCCCATGTTCAAACAATTTCTTTAAAAAAAAAATTCTAGCCACTTGATGAATAAAAGGATATACCCTCCCCAAACACCAAACCTGTAAGGACAGACCAGTAGTAGAAATCAGAAATCAGAGTGGGCAGTGATGTTGTATATCTAGCTTTAGCTATGACTGTATCCATTTCATTGTACATACACTGTACATACTGCACCTACTACTAACTAGTGCTCCACATTGTGCAATGAAGCTGGTGCTGCATGCTTCTCACTCCTAGTGTTAGCTTGCAGATTATTTACATTTTTGCTGATTACTTGAGACT